TGAGAGATATTGTTTCTTTCACGATGTATACCTTGACATATACAAATCAAATAAAGAAATGATGTTTACCTACTAAATATATATATATATATATAATTTGTATTAATATAATACAGTTAAATACTTTTAGAGTTGTATATTTTTTATAAACAAATTAAAAAAATTATTTGATAATAAGTATTTTTTTAATTAAAGTTATATAAATTTTTCTATTTAAATATTTATTTTATTATTGAATTATTAAAAAACCTTGTTATAAACAAATCAAGATAAATTATTATATAAAATAATTAGAAAAATCAAAAATTATTAAATTATTATTATTAAATTTTTTATAAAAATTTAAATTTAATAAATTAGAACTTGAAAAATTCATAAAGTTTATATTGAATTAAGATTATAATAATAATAAATTATTAGGTTCAAGTTTCTTTAAATTGATTTTAATCAATTTTTAAATATATAAATTATAATGTTAATGGAAAAAATCAAGAAATTTACAGATATATAGGAAAAAGAAAATGATAAAATGTTTTTTTTTGAAATTAAAAATGTTATTTATTTTGTAATAAATTCTAATGCTAAATAAAATTTTAATTTTTTTAATAAATTACAATTTTTTTAAACCTTTTTTTATTATAAATTTAACATATTAATTATAATATACTTTATTAAACTTATAGTAAATTCAATATCAACTTGATATTAAAATGATACTATTAGGAACTCTAATTATAATAAATAAATATTGAATAAATATTGATAATATAAAAGCAAAAATAATAATAATATATTTTTACTTCTTTTTTTTTGTTAATGGATAAAATAAATATAACAGTTCTAAGTAGTTTTGTTTAATGTTTGAAGTGAAAAAATAACCACCTATGTTATTAAAACACAGATCTCTGTCCGTTTTAAGAAATTTGATTGGTTCCCATATATGTATTGTGATTTTATTAAAGGTCTATTAAGACTATTAATATAATATGAAAATAAATTTACTGTACATCAATTCTAGGTCACGTAAATATTATTTTAAGAAATATTTAACAAGCAAGCAAAAAACAGGCAGATATACTTGTGTACTGTATATGTAAGACTTGCCTAAGTATCTTCAACTTTCAACACAGTTAGTATTAAAGAGATAATTGAAACACACTAGTGGCATCTAAATTCAAGAAGTAACTTGGTCAAAACAAGCATGATCCCTTATGGAATACTATACTCAATATTTTATCTTACATATAAATGCTACAATTTGATTTGAAAAATGCTTGTGCAATATAACTTCTGATAGATTATGTATGGAATTCCTCGAATTTTGTTTCACGTGTCCAAAAATTATCATGACAATTATAATATAAGTAAACGAAGAGTCGTTAAATGATATCTAAATGACGCAATGCATCATTGAAAATGAATATTTGCCAGTGACATAGCAGCCCGAATTTTTACTTTAATATACCCACTCCGCGGAAAAGCCACTATATAAAAAAAATGAGATAATGCTTAATAATGAATGAATTAAAAATAAATTAATTAGAAAATTTAATTACCGTTTATTGAAATCATCTTTATCAGACTCTGAAACAGCTTTGGCGTAAGGACCAGTGGTTGGCGGGAAATAAGATAATGTCAGAGCGTTATTCAAATTGAGCTATTTCAAAGTTGGAATCCGATGCGATCAATTCACCTATTTACCATGTTTCCCAAAATAAAAGTTAGAAAAGTATTCATTGAATATTTAACTTGATATAAACTTCGTATGTATCAACAAGAAATAAAGTTAAAATTAAGATATAAGACATTTCGCAAAGATATAGACTTACTTGCAAGGCATGCATTATATATGCGACTCTAAAGCAGTAAGCATATTGTAGCTCACCATCAATGTCGCGTTAATATTTCTTGGCTTTTAAATTCTCTCTTGATTTTTTTGACATAAACTTATTAAACCCTAAACTATATGTATTACGTTTAACATCAGTAATATCCAAGGATAATATTAACGCGATTATGTATGTATTTAGCTTACAAACCTTTATTTTTAGTATGGCACGTGCAGAATGTTGCTTCACAAAACAAGAACGAAGTATATAAAGTAATTTATTATAAACTTTAAATATAAAGCACAGACATAGTATTTGTCCGTGTCCGCCCTATTTTTGGACTGGACACGGACGGTCCGATCCGATCCAGTTCGATCGCCTTAAATACAATCGAGAAAAAGGGTAGTAATTATTAATTATTTTAAACAGGAGTGTTCCTGGTTCTATATATACACGTATATCCCACCGGGTCAGCGAGCGGCCTTGAACATCAGGCAGCCGAGCGGGTCACCTGTGCCCCGATAGGACCAGTATTAGGTCAGCGAGCGGCCTTGAACATCAGGCAACCGAGCGGGTCACCTGTGCCCCAACACTAGTTTTGTGGCTCAGCAAACAGCCTTGAATGATAAGAACCGAGCGGGTCCCTATCACGCCACTATTCCCTAAACACATTTCTGACAAAAAAGATTGATTTTACCTTTTTATATCTTATAAGGGGCAATCTGCCTTTTCCTTTCTCTTATCTTGTTCATGTTTACATTCAACAATAGCATTAAGGCACCTAAGATACTGATATATTTTCCGATCGAAATATTCTGCCTTACACTTGTCTAAAAACCTGTGATGCATTATTCAGAAGGTTTTCGCTTGAAGAACTCGTGCAAATTGTCTGCCATTTAGTATTTTGAAATAAAATAATGTATGAAGTAAAAAAAAGGGGATTAGCCATATTTATCCTGTTTAGTCAAATTTCATCAACCAATCAACCAAATCATCGGATCAAAAAAAAAAGGTTGATCTGATCCCCTTTCGAGAAAATGTATGATACTATCAAAGAGGGAGGAAGTACGCAGATCCTAGGCCATTTAATGCGAGTCTCCAAAACATGTTATTTCTTTGCTCGAATAATTTCTGCAGATAATTTATTTCTACATTGTTACTAGCTATAAAACCTCACACCATTTCTATCTACAAGATTTT